ATCACTGTAACCACAAAAACTTAAAGCCTTTGGACTTGTTTTATCACATGGCTGCGATTGTTAGGAAACTTCATAGGGGTTGTGCATGTGTGATTTGAGTGCAGGAGCGCATGCACACGTCTAAATAAAGCCTTTTGACTTACTATGTCACATGGTGGAGTTCTCACCCTTATGGAGCCTCCTGACAGTGGCAGCTATGTGATACAATAAGTTAAAAGGCTTTAAGCTTATATAGTAATCATCCTTATCCATCTCTCTAGTTTGTAGAATTATAGTAGGCTTTAAATTAGGGGAGGAGAAAATTGAACTCGATTTCTTTTTGTTGGTAAGCTGTGGCCGCAGCCACTGTCCCGATCCATAGAATTGTAATATTTCTCAATTTTATAGACTGGGGGAGCACATTTTCTCAATTTCATGATCTGTTTTGAATCTTATAATGGTGAAATATTTTTCTATGTTCTATACAGCAATGCGATCCTTTTATCAGTAATCTTTATACTAGGCATCCAGCTTAATCTCCCTTTCTATCATGCGATGACTTTGGGCGATGATTTGCTTTATATGGTCCCAATTATAGATAAGAAAGATTACAATTCCAATTTAACCAAGCACTTCTTCTGGCCTCAGGATGACAAAGCTTTCATCGAGAGAAGTCTGGTGGATAGCGAAAGAGTTCAGGTACTAGCAAATGATTTTGTAGTCTTACGAGCGGAGTTAGTTAACTTTTGTTGAGAGGATTTAAAGACGAAAAAGAATAAAAATAATTTGTTTAAAAAAATTAATACATTGAATTTAATTAATAATTAAAATATTTATAATAAATAATTTTGTATAACTTGTAAATTAAAAGGAACAAGAAAAGAAAAATTTATAATAGTTTTTTATGAAAATTGTGTTAAACGATGTTTCATAGATTTAAATTCATCAACGATTGATTTTGTACTGAAAAAGCTAATAATGCTTTTTTTAATATAAACAATTAAATCATCTATCAAAAAATAATCATCCAATTAGTTTCGAAGTTTTCTTTTTACAATTTTTATTAGGCTTGGTGTCTCAAGTATAGGAAAATAATTTTGACAATTTGTATATTTTCTTTTAAAATATTTATCAATTGTTTTCAATTTACTCATATTTTCATCGACCTTTAAAAAAATTAATATAGTCAATGTTTAATATTTTTATTTTATTTATATTTAAATTTAAAATATTAAATATAAAACTATAAATATATAAATATGATATATAAGATTTTATACAATAGTTAAATATATAAATAGCTAAATAATATAAACAAAAAAAAAAGATAAAAAAAACGTTACCCTTTCTTAGTTTCACACAATAGTAGTGAGTGGTTATTGTTCAAGCTCATAAATCACTTTTAAAAAATGAAATGTATTTCAATTATGAATTACATAAAAAGAGTAGAGTAAAAATAAAAGACAAAAAAGAAGAAAGAGAAAAAGGTGTAAAGAGACTTAATTAAGTTTTAGGTAAAGTTCAGTAAAGTTTGTGGAGTTATTTTATTATTTTTTATTTGTATAAATTACTGAATAAAAAAATTATTTTGAGAGTATAAAAAATATATAATAAATAAAACTTTGTAAAAATTTTGAGGGGGCTAAAACCCCATAAATATACTATTTTTCATACCCCTGTTTAGTCCTATATGTTAAAAATTCTACTGTTATTATTGGAACCCTCAAATTCCTTTTGTAACAAAAAAAATGGATGGAAATATGCAGATGGAAGACATTAGACTGTGTGAAGGTGTTCAAAGGGGTATCGAATCACCTGCATATTGCAGGGGAAGGTATGCTCCAACTGTCGAGAAGGCCATGCATCATTTCCATTGTCTGCTTTATGATAATCTCATAAACTAATTGACCTTGTATTTGGGTAACATGATCGAATGAACTCCAATTTGAAAGCCTTCTGGGTAGTATGAATGTTGTTTTTGGAATTTGAATTAGGAGAAATTAAGTGGGTACGTAGAACTGGACATATAGTGCTCGGTATACTTTGTATAACGTGGCAGTTCGCTCCGGCTGCTGAACTATACTTGTTGTCTTCCTAGTAATGTAAACATGGACAACACACGCATACATGTGAAAACTGGGAATCACATATCTGTCTTTTGTTCTTGAACCAAGTAGACAACTCCAACGAAAAAAAACAGGCCAATAAACTTCTTAATATATATATATATATATAGTAGAAGGTGGTAACCTTCTTTATCGTTTCATCACTCATTTAGCAAAAGAAGAGAGGAGAAGCATTCAAAACAAAGGGTGAAGGCGTAGAGAAGCTCCGATGCTGAAAAATGAAAATGAAGACAACCAACAAAAGGACAAGAAACTTCGAAGATTTTTATTTGTTTGGATATATATCTGAGCATGGTCAGAAAGAGAATTTAATGCGTGAAATGTGTAAAATTTTCTCAAATCTTCAATCAAATTGAGAAATACCATTCTCGTGTAGAGGGTTGCATGAGCAATAAATTAGAATGCTATATTTTTATTTTATTTAAAGTATGTGGAATAACATTTTAAATGAAGATTATATGTTACTTGTTTAAAAGGAAACTTAACAACGGATCAAATTTAGATGGGGATTGCAGTATATTAACCGCCTCCAACCATCAATAAGAGAGACTCCGCCGCGTCTGCGTACTCTATCTCGAAAACTCAAGAAAGAAGCAGCTTTGCCATATTCTATTGTTCCTGTTAAAGGTGGTGATCAGTTACAGTTACATTAACAAACGAAGCAAATCGTGTAGCATGTTAGAGATGTTTTTCCGAGAGCCAGTACTGCCATTAATTCCCGGTCATGGCAACTCTAGCAGCGATCTTCGTGGTTATGCGCTTCTTTTTCCACTCACTCAGCTGTTGAAACCACGAAACCCCACCTGGCCGGCTCACGGTGGGCTCTCCTTCTCGTCACAACATTGCTTTTGGTGATAGCCCTGCATCGCTTTTCCGCATCGTCTACCTCCACGAATTTGATTGCTTCTAATTCTTCTGCCAACTGTGGTACTCATCTCTCACGCCGTGATCCGCCCATGTCTTCCTGGGTTTTGCTTTTCCTTAACGTCTTCTTGCTTTACATGGCGCTTAACCAGCATACCTTCAGACGATCATCGTTCCTCTACTGATGGAATATGTACAGATTTTTTAGATTAGGGTTCATTCTTCATGGCTACATTTTCTTTAGTTTGCTACATTATCTATATTTTGATTTTCATTTTCTTTTGGGAAACGGCATGCATGGATTAACCTGTCATATTTATATCATTTTGATCATGCAATTTTGATAGAAGAGTGTAAATGAAATGAACGGATATCATCTCAGCTTTTTTTTAAAAAATGATTTTTTTTATTTAAAAAATAACATCATCTATTAAAAATAATCTAAATATTACTCTCTTAAAAAGTACTCTGTCCAATTATAATTGGTAATCCATAATGTGTATCGGGTTCGATACGAACCCGAGCGTCAGCAATCAGGACTTCTAAAGGATCTTGAGTTGGGCGGGCCATGGTTAACAACGTGGAGAATTTATCCAATACGGATTGCACCTGACAGAAGACCGAATGCCTTGCAGTGAGTCAAGGGAGCCACTAGGCTGCGAGAAGAGTTTCTCTAACCTGTGCGTAGGCCTATAGACGACTCGTAAACTAACCAGTGTTAGCCTGTTGGAGCAGTCCCGTTTCTTTGCATTGCTTATCAAATTGTTTATACATTTCTCTCGTTAACATTATTTTTTTAAAACATTTTGTAAGGTGATGGTAACCATTAAAGTTTACCCCCCACATTTACCCACTGCTTGAAGAATTTTAGAAGAGACCTTCCATCAACGTACAACCACCAAATTTAGAAAAGACTTCATTATGAACCCTATGAAGGAACTATGGATCATACTTCATTTTCCAAAATCAGGGAAAAGTTGTTCTTACAAATTCCATCCTTTAAGTTTCTCCACAAGACAGCAGCAAGTGCAATTAAGAAGTTTAAAAATGAAAGCAGTTAAGTGAACAACTACAATCACCAGGATTTAAGTCAAAATTTAGTGAAAAAGGAAACTTATATAAAATTTATATGTCAAGTGGAAGTCACAGGACGTGTAATCTGCAGAAGCTCATTTCTGTCTGGAACCTACAGGGCTACCAAATAGTCAAAATTGGATTCTACAATTATAAGCAGAAACTCATATGTTTCCTTTTCCATCTCTAGCATATCCTTCAACTAATTTCGCTTAACATGTAAATTACTTTAGGAAACAGCTTACAAGTTCAATTGGAGGAAAGTTGCAATCCAAACCTTCGAAAGATATCAGCTGGTCCCAGATGGAGCCAAGTCTAGCTCATCTCAATCATCAACATTCGAGAGAACGGTTGGTTCTTTCAAATGCTTCTCAATACTCCTAAAGGAGCACCCCGCCAACGTCTTTTCTTTGACATAACCTGAAACCGTACAGCTCCAGAAATCAAATAAGTTGTTGCATGATCAAGTTAATATTTAGGATAGGTGCCTAAAACATCCAAATAAATAAAAAACTTATGAGCTCATATATGATGCTTTGTGAACAAAAAAAAAAAAAAGAATTAGAAGATCAATTCACAATTCTCTTTGTAGAAAGGCATATTCTCTCAATGCTGCAATTACTTAGCAAGGAAGAGATTTTGCTTCTTACAGAGCTTGATCTAAAAAGCAGAGAAGAGAAACTAATCTTGAAAATTCCATGTAAAATGATCATTCTAAAGAGAGAATGGTTTAGATGCAGGGGTAAAAGGATTTCATATTGTCTAGCAATAAACAATCAAATCAAAATATGAATTTGGTTCAATGTGACATCTACAAATTGGTTAAGAGACTATTCACACCCAGCTATGCTCTCAATTGCGGGCCAGCAAAGGTGAAATGACTCCTCAAAATAATTAGTCAAGTGGGAGAGCACCAGTGATAGCAGAGGCCATAGTGGTTCAAGATTTTATGTGTATTTAAAAAGTTAGAATAAAATTATCTGTCATATCCTAGAAATGTCCAATTCCAGAAGTAGTAATCATGCAAACAAAAAAAAGTACAGTACAGATTTGATCATGCAGAGAGTAATATGGCACCTTTGAGGATGGAGGAGGCAAAGATGCCTGTCGCAAAGCTTTCCCAGGTTCTGTTAACTGCCGTATCTCTCGAAGTTGACTTGCAATATTTTCCAATATTTGCAACTGACCTTGTTCCCTCTCCCTGTGGCCCATAGGGAAGTTGAGCTTGTCTCTTCCCTGTTGTACAATCTTTAGCCTTTCTCTAAGCCACCCAACTTCATTGTCAATTTTCAGCCGCTCATAATCAAAAGCAGACATGGAATTTCGACGTAAAATGGGAGGTAAATGTTTGCCTCGTGAAGGACCAATTGGTGGTAATCTGCCAGATCTGTCCAAACTGTTTCTTTTCCTATCAGTCTCAATTTCTAACTCACCAATGGTTGGATTATCACATGTTCCAGGCAAGTTTGAGGTAACACTTATTGACTTCTTCTCGCTTTTGCTTCCATTCTCGTTATTATTCACGTTACATCCATCATAAATGACATGAACATCATGAACATGATAATCAACACCAGAATAGGAGCCATGTAAGTCTTCTCCATGCTTCTCCACTTTTTCATTATTATATGGGAAAATTATCTTTGTTTCTTCAAAAGCCTCAGTTGTCTTAGGCATCAAGCGTTGGCGTGGACTGGTTTCCCCACATTGCTTCTCTTCTTCAACCATAGGGCTAATGGGTTTCTCTTGCAAATCAGGTCCCTGAGTTGACTGAGTGGACTGCACATGTCTCTCTTGATGATTGAGATTCTTGTTTTTGAGTGCCATTCCCTTGTTCTGAAATTCTTGATTAACCTCATCACGATTTCTAGACAGATGTGCACAATTGACTTCAATACTAGAATTTAAAGAGCCAGCATATTCATTGAGTTCTGGAATCGGTATTTCTTTCCCAAAAGCAAGAGTATGATTCGGTGACCTTATAGATTCAGTGTTCTGCTGCAACTTTAGCACTGGCTCCTCATTTGAATATATAGATGAACTTTCTAGTTCCTGTGTGGCTGCTGTATCATACATCTCAGCATCCAATTGCTCATTTTCGAAAAACATATGCTTGTAAGATTCAACTTCCTTCTCCAAGAAATGCTTCTCCCTTTCTCTCCTGAATAGGATCTCTTTGAGAATTTTCATTTCTTCTGCATCATATGCAGATTTTTCCTCTATCATCCTCTGGTATTGCCTAGCTTCCATCTCGATGGTTGCCTTCTCCTCTTGCAGACGCAATATCATCGCCATAGCCTCATCTGCAGCAGTAGCAGCAGCACTTCTCTCTTTCTCAAGCTCAAGGTATAGAGCAGTACGAGCAACATGCTCTTCTTCTAGAGCTTGTTCCAAGACTCTTATTGCATTTCTGTCACTGCCATTAAAATCCTGATCTGGTGGCAAGCACTTGAACTCAGCCAGTGCTAATTCCTTCTCTATGAGTTTATTCTCAGCAAAAGGGTCATCATCCATGTCAAAACCCAGAGAACCTTGCTCAGGCATTTCAATCTCTTTTGAAGTTTCCCAGCCATCTAAAATTTCAGAACCATGCACATTATATCAGGCATTAGTATGTGGAGTAAAAATACAAGCTAAAAACACAAGCATTTTATTTGCAATCCTTTTATGTTCAAATCATTGTGAAAATTAGCAAAATTTTTCCTCAAAGAAAACATTATGTGAACTTAGATTGTAGAGTAGCACTCTATTGCATCAAAACAATCTATGACTTCAGAAGTAGCGATACTAAAACCTTCTTCTCTGGTCATGGATATGACTACTACCTTCATTTACAACTGAAAATTAACACTTACTGCACATACAAATGCATGCACCATGCACCACTTACACACGAAAGACACTTGTTTAAATCATAACTACCCCTTTAGATTATATTTAAAAAGTTTTGAAAACCTAATAATTCCCAATTCTCTTACACCAATCTTCAACATGGACACCGAATATCCATAAAATACCCCCCATGCACTTAATATTACAAGTATTGCTAGGAAAACAGTTGTTACAATCTAGATATCAAAATATTAAATGAGTAAATTCCACAATAATCTCCACTTATCTAGTAAGGTAATTAATTGTCCTCAACATGCAATCCTGTGCCAATTGTTGATATATTCATATTTCAAGCGGTCCTTAAAATGAAATTTCAACATAATCAAAACACAGTATAAAAACAAATCAAAATCCTAATAACACAGATAAAAATAAACTAAAAGATAACAACAGATCATCACCTTCAGAATTAGCCGAAGTCCTGCCCCCTTCAGTGTTATCATTCCCAAATTTACCAATACTAGCAGAAGAATTCAAACCAGTTGGGGTAGTCATCGACACCAAAGAATCATATGAAAAAGACAAAACCTTTCCACGATGACCACTAGCAGCTCTCTTACGCCGCCTAAGACCAACTCTAGGCCTCTGACTCCCAAACCCCTTCCACTTAGGAATTGGCGTAAAGCTTCTTTTTTTTACTCCAACAAAATTCTTCTTCTCATTCCATGAAGAAGAAGATGCTTCCCCATCCATCTCGACATTCCTATTTTGCCACTTATCGACATTTGATTGACTATCATGCTGTTCTTCAACCTCATCCTCATCATCATCATCATAAAAGTTGTTCCAAATTGAATCAAAAGGGAGCTTTTTCTTAACAGAAGATTGAACAGAGGAGATTTTAAGAGATGGTTTATTAACTAAAATGGCTTGAAAACAATTATTCTTATCTGTGTACCCAAACAATCCATTACAAGGACAAGGCAAGGACAATCCAAATAAACCCAGAAATTTTGAAGCCAAATAAGAAAGAGCTGATCCACAAAGCAATAAATAAGCTATTGATAGATCAAGAAAAGCACCCACTAGGCCACTGAACGTCCATGAATTTATCACATTACATGCCATTGAAAAAAGATGGATTCTTATTGAAAAGTTTCACGATTTCGTTTTTAAAAGAGAGAGTTTCAATCAGGGTAACTCACCCCCTAGTTGGTTTGGATTGACTCAGTGATTGGGATACTGAAAAATTGACCCAAGTTTGGTCCTTGAGTCCGTGAAGGTTCGAGGAAGAAACCCAGAGAAAGAGAGGTTTTTGTAAAGTTTCTAAAATTTTGGGTTTTGATTTGATTTGATGTTTTTGATTTTTGACCGTTTGTATTTTAAGCTTCGGTTACGTTTCTCGAGGGAGATTCGACGGCGTCGTTCCAAGTTTGTCCTTGAGTTATGGGTCCCTTCAGTCGGCGCGCTTATCTGATGACGAGTGTCCATGAGCACACGCGCAGTGAGAGCGGTTGTTGATGGCATATAGTTCTACTTATGGGGGTTAGCTAATACATTTGTTGATTTTCACATTTACAAGAACCATTTATTTTAGTATTTAATTATACATATTAAACAGAAATAACAAAGTATCTAATTACTTTTATTTGGCTGCAGTACAAAAATATTAGGCAGCATTTAGAATAAAATATAGTTATAGAAGTTGTATACATTAATAAAAATTATATTTTTATTTTAATTGTAAAATATTTAAAAAATATAACAAAAAATTTAATATGCTAACACTATTATTACTAAACAATTTAAATTTCAACTGCAATTGAGCATTTGATGCATTAATTTGTACATAATCTCTTACTTAAAAAACATAGTTATATATATATATATATATATATACCATCACAATGACTAATCTTTTTTTTGATAATTTAAAGAAATGCCCTGCAGAAAATGAGAGCAGTACAGCAGCTCTACTAATGAACAATGCTGTTGAACCCAGAATGAGTTCCCAAGGCAATCCAAAAGCAAAATCTGTCTCTTCGAATTGAGAGGTGAGGATTGCTAAGGAAAATGACCAGTGCTGTCACAGAGAAGCAAGGAGCTACTGGGGGTGAGATGCAAAAGACAGCAATTGCAGGTTCAGCCCTGAGATCTGGCTTACCACTGTCTTCCTGGAATAGTTGTGGAAGTTGCAGGCCAGCAACCATGATTCAGAGGTTTTGGTGAGCCATAATTCACTACCCTTTTTGACGAGCGATTTGTGTGTTCCCGTGAAGATTTGTTTCGTCGTTTGGCCCACCTTGTGGTTGTAATAAACAAGCAATTAAATGCTGTGAAATGGATGTTTTTAACGAACTGCAATATTAGTGGTATAACTCAATTTAACTAACGAATGGAGAAGACAAAAAGGGGAATAGATAATTCATCCACGTTCAAAACTCGAATAACTTAGCGACCTAATAATAGCTACAGGCCTAGAGCATAGCTTATACCACTTGAGATCCCATTGCATCTGCAATGCAGATCCTGGAATCAGGCAAGGCAGATATTCTCCATGTGTTGCAGCAAGGTGCAATGCATTGTTCCCCTGGTTGTCCACTGTCGGAAAACACTTTCAAGCAATGGAGTTTTTCCTACTATTAGGAACCGGAAAATGTGAGCTTGCCTATCGATCTCTACTGCTAATAGCATGGCATTTTTGTTATTAACGGCATCCCAGTCCTGAATAGATGACAGGAAATTTTTCTAGGATGCTTTCAACCATTCCTGTTACACCCATATCCTTGCTGCTATCAGGATAGGCGTAAGCATCTTATTAGGATTCAAACCCGAGATCAATTAGTGAGAATTTACAAAATAAATATTAAATCACTTTCCCTTTTCTTTATAAACTGATTCCCTAGCTACTCTTTGCATCGTGATTATCAATGATAATGGAGCAAAGTTGCCAAGAAAACATTGCTTAGTATTTATGTTTTAAAGCTAGAGGATAAATGTGATCGAGCTGCGGTGATCAAACATAAGGATACTAACCAAGTCCCAAAACAATAGCATCAAATTCATCGAAAACTTATAATTGGATAAAGAAGAAATTGTGAAAAATTATCATCTTTGTAAACTCATTTTAGAAATAATCTTCGATATAAAGTTAACTGTTTTTATTTAATTTTAGTTATGAGATGACAAAAATATCTTTAAAATCATTTCAAACAAATGAAATACTTCCAATTTTTCTCTCCTACCATTCGTTTGTTGTGCTCTCCATTTTCTCTCTCACCATCTAACTCTCTCTAATTTTACCCCCATCACTATCTATCTTTGTTTATCTCTCGTTATCTCATTATATCATCGTTGATTTATATATTAAAGAGCATGGCATGGTGAGTAATAATAAGTTCTTGAATTTATTGATATTGAGTTTTTCAATGATTCAATTCTAATAAAACATGCCTTAATATATAACAAAGTGATTCATACCTTGATGTGTAACAAAGTGATTCATGTTTTGACGTGTAACCTTAGTATGAAGAAGTAAGCTTTGGTGTGCAATATCTGGTGTTAAAACTTTGACCTTGACATATAACATCTGGTGCTGAATCTTTGACCTTAATATTTGTTGCTGAAGCTTGAACCTTGACATGTAATATTTGCTACTTAAGTTTTTATGTGTAACATCTATTTAGGTTTGTAGTGTCATTTTATTTTTCTTTTTTATTATTAAACATGAAGTATAACTTGCTCATTTGTATTTCATTATAACATAAACTCTTGGAGTTAAAACTTGTAACAATTCTTTTAAAAAAACATAGCAAGTAACAACGGCATTTTTTAATTGCTCTCTATTTTCATATTTCTCTAAGACATGGATTCTTGAAGTTAAGCATATAGAGATAAAGTTTAAAATAGAAAAAAAAAATTTGACGTGTAAGTGAAGATGTATTGAAAAATAACATTAACATTATTATTGCAATGAAATGGATTTGGACAAAAAAATATTATCCAAAATCTTTTAATTTTGATAATTAGCTTTGGATTATTTTATTTGTTATATTTTCTATAATTATAAAAAAAACAGTGTGTAATATATTTTTTTCAACATAGCATGTAATGATATTTTTTTTCAATACATAAACTTAAATATGATAAGATTTCATTAAAGATAATTTTATCTAAAAATTTTTTCTCTTCATTAAAATTAAAAAAAAAAGTTACATTTGAAAACACAGTAAAAAAAATCGTTCTTTAAATAAATGTGGCATAAATTGAAATATCGTGCATGTCATTGATACATGGCGTGCCTTGCGGCAAATGTGTCGACCTATTCAATGTCTGCCATATCACATACCACGTGGCATGCATGCCACACGTTTATTACATGGAAGATATATGTATATATGATGACATAATCACATGTATTTGTCCACATGAATGCTCCATCCTGTGACAAGTTTCCAACGCCTTGATTAATGGATGAATGAACTGATACATTTCCTTACAAATGGTTATAAAGTAAATGTTAAATATCTCCTGTCAAATAAACGTGGAGAAGACTTGAAGCAGTCTTTGAAATTCTTCCTTTGAATAAATACAAAGATCATTACCTTTCAAAAAAAAAAGTAAGTGCATATATATATATAGGTATCTATTTGCAGTAGATCATAAGTAAGCCATCAAATAGAATTCCTTTCTTCACGTCTAGCTCTCTACCATATGAACCAACTGTACTACTTTTCACTTTTTATCAGTTTTAATTTGGTGGAATATGACAGCTAGATAATAAAAATTTAACTTTAAGAAAAAACAAAATACAAAGTTTTACTTCTATGTGTGGGAAAAATTATGTTTTAATAATTATTACATTTTCATAGTAATTACTCGCTTAATCAATATAATAATTCACCTTTTTGTAAAATAGAAAAGGGATAATAACACTGATGTCTGAGGCACATCGATCGTTGGAAAACACAATAGCAACCACATTCACACACAACCAATCCTATGTATCGTACAAAATATAATTACTTGAACACCATGGCAGATATTATACAGCATAGAAGGCCAGTAGACGATTACGAAGCAGATTCCCTATAGCTGCGTTGTGGCACTTTTTGGCAGATAGCCCATAAAAGATCGAAGTAGAGCGATAGTTGTGCAAGAGCAAACAAGGAAATAGGCAAGCATGTTGCTGTGTATATGGGCAATGCCGCAAACTTTAACTCATCTCTCAGTTCAAAGAAATGCCCTGCACAAAAGGAGACCAGCATAGCAGCTATAGATGTAAATAGTGATGTTAAACCCCATATAAGTTTCCTTGGCAGTTTACTATAAAAATCCTTCTCTTCGAATCGAGAGGTGAGAATTGCCAGGAAAAAGACCAAGGCTGTAACAGAGAAGCATAGAGCTACAAGAGATGAGATGGCAAAGACATCAAATGCAGGCTCATCTCTTAGAACTGGTTTACCATGACTGACACCACCCGGAATGTTTGCTGCTGTGGCAAATGCTACTGTTGCAATGAGTGCAGCAATAAGAGAGCATGATTCAGAGGTTTTGGTGAGCCATTCACTGCCATCTTTCACAAGGGTTTTGTGTGTTTCTGTAAAGATTTGCTTTGGAGTTTGACCCTTATTGTTGTAATGACCAAGAAGATGTTTTGCCAGGGATTTCTTGACAAACTGGCATCCAAGGAAAAGAAGGTAACAGAAAACAAACAGAGAAAATGCATGAATCAATCAATAAGCCCATAAACATATTGGAGAATCAAGCATCAGTAGATCATACCTTGTACCATTTGATTTCCCATTGCATCTGCAATGCGGATCCTGGAATCAGCCATGGTCGATAATTTCCATAGGTTGCAGCAAGATGCAATGCATTGTTTCCTTGGCTGTCCCATTTTCGAAAGACACTTTCATGTAAATCTTTCTTCGTTTCCACAAGAAATTGGAAAGTATGAGTTTGTCTGTTCTCTACGGCTAAGAGCATGATATTTTTGTTTTCAGCATCTACGTCCAGGATAGCAACTGGAAATTTATCTAAAATTCTTTCCACCATTTCGGTTATGCCATTACTTGCTGCTATTAGAATAGGTCTCTTCTGTTTTGTAGGTTCTACTGCAACTTTTTTTTCAAATTTCATCTCCACGGCGTGCTTTGAAGTCTTTGAATCCACAGTTCCTGTAATACGGTATTCTCCAAGAAATTTCTCCACTAGTGCATCCTTCCCTTCCTTTTTTGAGGAACCTATATGATATTTATCATAACTTTGGTTAGTGTCAATAGATAGTGTAGACATTCATGGAAGTCAATATCTTGAGAAGATATCATAATCTAGACTTTTAAGAGTGGGAACTTATTAGGTACATCGATCAAGTTTGGCGCCTCTTCCTCCATTGCTAATTGATTTTAAGTTGCGTATCTCTTCATGATATTTCACAAATAACAAAATATTTAAAAACAGATATATCTGACACCTAGGAAATATATAGGAAGCTATGCTGAAGTATCTTAGTCTTGAATCTTTTAAAATCAGTCAATTGCTTCATTGAGGAATTCTTATTTTGTTTACTTGTAACAGAAAAAGTGTTGTAACTTGCCTCCTTCTCTAATAAAAAATAAATGAATGAATCATGCCTGTTTCGTTATGACGTTCTCCTTGTTTGTCTAAGATTTCAACTTTGGAATCATTGCCTGTATTTGTATCCTGACTGGATGCACTCATTAGGCTTGGGTTATATGGAAATTCTTCAGTCATTCCGCCAATGCCAGTGCCTGTCTGTCCTCCAGAACCAGAATACTTATATGTAGAAGCATTCTCAATCAACTTATCCATGACCTGAGAAGCCCATGTGTGTCTCTGCTTCTTTGTTGTTATCTTCTTTATCCTTTGAAAGCCTGCACCACCATAATTATAAGAAGTCTTGCTAGTTAGTGTTATATATATATATATATATATATATATGTATTGATTGTAAAGAAATATATACTAACCAAGTCCCAGAACAACCATCACGAATTTCATCACAAACTTGAAAAACTGAATAAATGTGGTATAATTCTCTGGAACATAGTCTGCTCTATGCTCTGCCTTCGCCTTTGGGCTTGTACCTTTAAAAGAAAAATGGCCAGAAAATGGATTGGAGAGCGTAACCCAATATATATGGATCCAAAAGGAAGGTAGACCTAATCTGTAACGTATATCTAAGTAAATTAATGGGATATTTTTAAAATAATTCTTATAAATAAGATGTTCTTAAAAATATTTTTTTTATAATTTTAATTATTTTTAATTTAGTTAGATAAAATTATTTTTAATGAAATTATAAGTAATATATAAAAACATGTTACACGTTATGGTTAGACTGTTATTTACAAAACATGTTACATGCCATTATTAAGTTATTACATGCTATATTGAAAAAAATAGTATTGTTACACGTTATAAACAAAAACATGTTACACGTTATAGTTAAGTTGTTACACGTAATGTTTAAAAACATGTTACACGCCATGTTGAAAAAAAATACTATTGTTGCACGTCATGTATAAAAACATACTACACATCATAGTTAAAAAATATTGTTATACGCCATATTGAAAAAAAAAATAATTGTTACATGCTATGTTAAAAAAATATTGTTGTTACACATTATATTTAAAAACATTTATTACACTTTAATACTTAAAATGTTGTTGTTACTTACGAACCAAAACTTTAAATACTCTCAACTCTCTTAATTTTTTTTTATTTTTTTAACAATTTGGTATCGATTAAAGTGTTTCTAACATATTTTTATAAATCAAAATATAAATTTTCTTATCAAAAACACCTCTTTTAGCTAAAAATAAAAAAAATTCTTTGAAAACCCAGGTTTATAAATTTCAAATTCTTCAATTTATTGGTATTTAGGCCCCGAATTGATCTAATTCAAAACTATTTCAAACATCTGTGATCATTTTTACCATTTTAGTTTTATCTAAAATATCTCAAAATTAAATTCTCTAAATAATCATCCATCCAATACATCAAAACAATCGCTTAGAGTCTTGAAAGCGCAGAAAAAATATATCTGAAAACATGAGAGAGATAAATCGAGAGCGCAACAGAAGAATGTTAAAGAGAGAAATCGATAAAATTAGAAAAAGTGGCATGGTGAGAGAGAGAAATCGAAAGTACAAATGGAAAAAAATTATAATGAATGGTTTAATTTATTTAAAATAGTTTCAAATGTATTTTTATCAAGTCATTACTAAATATGATTAAAAATAATTAAATTTATTTTAATGGTTATTTTTAAAATGTCCTTATCAAAAAAGGTTATTCTTCATAATTTCCTCTAAATTAATTTATCAAAAAAGATATGAAAAGAACTTACTTAATCATATTTGACATGCTAAAATCATGTGTATTCCAATTCCAGTATTTGATGATCCTTTTTTAACATCATTTGAACTAGCTATATGTTTAAGAGTAATGATTTCTTCCAAGTGATAATGAAACTTTTTTTACTTTTTGAGAAAACGTGATGGTGAAACTTAAATTCTTTACCTTGATCAGTTACTTTGCTTGTCCCTTGAGGATTCTCTTCGTCAGTATTGCTGTTGCCCTTCTTCTCCTTCTTGTGATTAATGCATGAAAGCAAGCTACTTGTACTTGTAGAAGAACATATTTCTACAAAACCTGGTTTTCTTCGGTTATTAGGTCTAACCTTTACTGGAAAGATGGAGAAAACGTACAAATTTTAAACAGAAATATGTAAATCCATTTTTGTTTCTCTCATATGGAAGAATAACCCACTTGGCATGCCAAAACAAACCACATCCAGAAACATTCTGAAGAAGCGCGCGCAGGTTTCGTAGGTTGGTGGAAAGCGATCACGATCATTTTCTTTGAACTTTTTCTGGTAATCGTTACTGTCGTATTCTTTCTCCTTCATTCTATCCACTACGATACCTACAACATAATTAATAGCACTAATTTCCCGATTATATTTACAACAATACTTAGGCTCAAAGCTTGAATTTGGTAGAGAAAATTTGCTTACAGCTGTAGAGGATCGAATCAAACAGTCCAAGACGACTACCACTCTTAAATGCATTAGTCTTCGTGGCTAGAACATGGAGAGGAGATAAACCATTTACATTGAACGCGTTCGCAAGCTCTGGATATGTGCATATGATTTGAAATGCTAAATCTGTGAAAGAAAAATTTTGTTACGAGAACCGAGTTTTTCATCAAAACTCGTCAAAATGATGGAAAGAAATTGCAAATATTGAATCCAAGAGAAAGTAATCAAACGGAACTGACCAAAGTGTTCTCCACCAATGGCAGCATGCAGACTGGTATTACCCTTTGCATCTCTGCTGCATATATCCCCACGTTTTCCTTCGGGGTAACAAAAATAGAGGCAAAAGAAAGCATCTTTATGGCCATACTTAGCTGCCAAGAAAAAAGGGGTCTCATTCTTTTTGTTGTTTTCAGCAATGAGACTAGAATCTTTTGAGGCCATGCAACGGCACATGTGTGCGTTTCCCAGTGCTGCTGCTATGTGAAGTGGTGTATTCCCTCTCTCATTCTTTGCTTTCAAAACATTGGAAACATTTGCTCCCAGGATTTCCACCAATTTACGCACGAATTCTAGCTTTCCGGCTGAGACTGCTAAGTGCAAAACAGTGTCTTCAGCTTCTGTAATCTTGGCCTTACGGCTCTCAGGCTCTTTCTCGTAGGCCGTCGCCACTTTCTGCCACTCGTTTGTCATGGCATACTTAAACAGATTTTCCGATCGCTCCCTGAGTACAGCAGCCCGGTCTGCCTCTTTTTTCAATTCCTCGTTCTTCTGCGATTCTGATTGTTGCTTCTCTGAAACTTGCTCCATCGTCTCCTTCTTTTGCTCTTGCCCCGTGATTGAAACTTGCTTTCTTCTCTTATTTTGATCAGTGCTTAATTAAAGATAGTTGATGTGCTTCGTTATTTATAAGTGTCTTTCTTTAGGTGGAATCGTCCCCCACAAGACACACAGCCATCCCATCTATTTCACCGTCGTGTTCCATGCATCCCACCTAATTTATTCCATTTTTAATATTATCAAAGAAGCTATGGACTCAAAGTATGCATTTCTCCAAGGAGGAGAATACAGATATGCTTCCCCAAATTCACCTTTATTAGGGGTCAGCATCATCCGGATGAATTGATCTTTCAAGTCACTTGAACCGCTACTTGCAGTAGAACACAAGTAAAGCCATATATGCCAACAAAAGAAAGTACATCAGAATAATTTATAATCACTTTTCTTTTTTTTTTTTTGAAGATTAAAGAGGGCCATTTCATTAAAAAGAACAATTACTTACAAAAACAGACAGTTATCAACTGGTGTTCCTTCAGTTACAACTGTCCTAGGATGGCTTACAAAAAAACAGCCATGACAGCAACCTGTAAAACTATACAGAGAACATGAATCCACCACCCTTCTATCAGACTCAGAATAATCAACAAGGCAAAAAGACAATTATCAACTGGTAATCTTCTCAGAACAGCAACTGAATTCTCAACAAGGCAAACAACAGACTCAAAACAGTAAACCACAGACACCAACGCAAAAAGAACAAGTAAGGGTAAGAAACATGTCTTATGGCCTGTTTCTTGTTCTTACTTCTCCCGGAACCGTTCAAGGGACAGAGATCCTCTTGTCCTCTCATTTCTTGTCCGTTGTCACCATGGTGTTAAGAAGTTAAGGATAAATGCACAGTAAATCGTTGGATCTATCCACAGCTGACTTGGCCAGATTATCATCTCTATCATTTCCTGACCTTGGGATATAAGTAATCTGCCAACCAAGAGCCTTTTCTCGGAGGGCTTTGATTTTAAAGATTAATTGCCTCAAATACCAGGGTGAGGACTCCGGGTTGTCAATCCAAGTAATGACGTTTTTGGAGTCACATTCTATGATGACGCCTCTCTGCCATGGGAACCAAAACCATACATAATTAAATTCATTTTGACTTCAACGACAATAAAGAACCTCTACGAATCCTAAACCTCGAAGCAATCTTGATGCTCAACTTTAAAATTTTTTATTTTTGGCAATGGTTGGGTCTTGGGTTGATTTTATTTTTCTTTTTAAAAATATCCAAACATTTGATTTAATTATATAAGATGATTAGCTTTGATGAAGTAATTAGGGTATTATACAAGAGATAATTTTTTCTAACGGATAACCACCCAAAAAACATTAATTATTGAAAAAATTATAAAAAATAAACTTTTTTGATAAAAATATTTTAAAAATAATCATCAAAATAAATTTAATTATTTTTTACTTTATAACTGTTTTTCGCCTTATTCGTGAGAAAATTATGGCAGATAGTATACAGCATAAAGTAAATTATTACGAAGCAGATTCCTTATAGCAGCGTTGTGGCACTTTTTGCCAGATAGCCCATAAAAGATCGAAGTAGAGCGGTAGTTGTGCAAGGGCAAAGAAGGAAATAGGCAAGCATGTTGCTGTGTATATTGGCAATGCTGCAAACTTTAACTTGTCTCTCAGTTCAAAGAAATGCCCTGCACAAAACGAGAACAGAATAGCAGCTATAGATGTAAATAGTGATGTTAAACCCCATATAAGTTTCCTTGGCAGTTTACTGGCAAAATCCTTCTCTTCGAATCGGGAGGTGAGAATCGCCAGGAAAAAGACTAAGGCTGTAACAGAGAAGCATAGAGCTACAAGAGATAAGATGGCAAAGACACAAAATGCAGGCTCATCTCTTAGAACTGGTTTACCAGTATCTTCACTGACACCACCTGGAATGTTTGCTGCAGTGGCAAATGCTACTGTTGCAATGAGTGCTGCAATGAGGGAGCATGATTCAGAGGTTTTGGTGAGCCATTCACTGCCATCTTTGACAAGGGCTTTGTGTGTTTCTGTAAAGATCTGCTTTGGAGTTTGACCCATATTGTTGTAATGGCCAAGAAGATTTTTTGCCAGGGATTTCTTGACAAACTGGCATCCATGGGAACAACTCAAATCAAGGAAAAGAAGGTAACAGAAAAGAAATGGAGAAAATGCATAAATCGATCAATAAGCCCAAAAACATATTGAAGAATTAAGCATCAATAGATCATACCTTGTACCATTTGAGTTCCCATTGCATCTGCAACGCGGATCCTGGAATCAGCCAGGATCGATAATGTCCATAGGTTGCAGCAAGATGCAATGCATTGTTTCCTTGGTTGTCCCGTTGTCGAAAAACACTTTCATGCAATACTTTCTTTTCCACCAGAAATTGGAAAGTATGAGTTTGTCTGTTCTCTACGGCTAAGAGCATGACATTTTTGTTTTCAGCATCCACGTCCTGGATAGCAACTGGAAATTTATCTAAAATTTTTCCCACCATTTCGGTTATGCCATTACTTGCTGCTATTAGAATAGGTGTCTTCCGTTTTGTAGATTCAACAGCAACTTTTTTTTCAAATTTCATCTGCACGGCGTGCTTTGAAGTCTTTGAATCCACAGTTCCTGTAATATGGTATTCTCCAAGAAATTTCTGCACTAGTGCATCATTCCCTTCCTTAGTTGAGGAACCTATATGATATTTGTCATAACTTTAGTTAGTGTCAACAGATAGCGTAGACACTCATGGAAGTCAATTTCTTGAAAAGTTATCATAGTCTAGAAACTTTTAAGAGTGGGAACTTATTAGGTACACCGATCAAGTTTGGAGCCACTTCCTCTATTGCTAATTGATTTTAAGTTGCGTATCTCTTCATAATATTTCACAAATACAAAACATTTAAAAACAGATATATCTGACACCCAGGAAATAGGAAGCTATACTGAAGTATCTTGGTTTTGAATCTTTTAAAATCAATCAATCGCTTCGTTGGGGAATTCTGATTTTGTTTTCTTGTAACAGAACAAGTGCTGTAACTTGGCCGCTTCTCTAGTAAAAAATAAATAATTAAATCATACCTGTTTTGTTATGACATTCCCCTTGTTTGTCTAAGGTTTCAACTTTGGAATCATTGCCTGTGTTTGTATCCTGACGAGATGCACTCATTAGGCTTGGGTTACATGGAAATTCTTCAGTCATTCCGGCAATGCCAGTGCCAGTCTGTCCTCCAGAATACTTATACATAGAAGCATTCTCAATCAACTTATCCATGACCTGAGAAGCCCATGTGTGTCTCTGCTTCTTTGTTGCTATCTTCTTTATCCTTTGAAAGCCTGCACCACCATAATCATAAGAAGTCTTGCTATACATACATATATATATATATATATATATATATATGTTGTAAAGACTATATACTAACCAAGTCCCAGAACAACCATCACGAATTTTATCAGAAACTTGAAAAATTGTATAAATGTGTTATAATTCTTTGGAAAATAGTCTGCTCTATGCAGTTCCGGATAGGACTTGTCTTTTCCGTCTTCCTTGGCCTTCGGGCTAGTACCTTCATAAAAGAAAGAAAAATGGATTGGAGCACATAAAAGGAGCATTACCCAAAATAGTTGTATTTATATTTAGTTATTACCATATAAATCAAAATCCAATTGACAAACTCACTAAATTAAATTTACTTTGACAAAGAAACTTAATTCAGTTGTTAATCTATAGGAAAAGGTAAGTTATGAATCCTACTTGACGTGTTAAAATCAGTGCAACCAGTCCCTGTATTTAACAATCCTTTTGCAGCACCATTTGAATTATTTGATTCTGGCTTCGATTGAGATGATGAAAATTCACCTATAATTCCACACTTTATTATCCATGGTTGTTTATGTATATGCTTAAGAGTAATGATTTCTCCCAAGTGATATAATGAT